AACCCAGATCGCTTTGATTACAATTAGAGCTGGGCAGTGTCAGATGAGCAGATGTTTTAATGAGTGGCTGCTCAGCATTGCTCAGATGACATGTCTGCTTTCTCACATTTGCAGCGAGCCAGTAAAACGGGTGAGCTTAAACCCTGCAGAGCAGCCAGAGCAGTTGGGCTGGGAGGATGTACTGGGTGGCAGTGTTAACTGACCATCCCTGTTGCCTGCTTCATGCTCTAACAGAGACAGGTTTAAAGAAGTGCCTGGGTTCTGCCAGTGTGAACTGGGAGGATGTGTATGGCCTGTTGGTGGGCACACTTCCACACATGAGGCTGCACGTCCTTCCTGGGGGCAAGAGGAAGACTCTCAGCTGTTGAGCAGTTAGGTGGTGTCTGGGAGATTGCTGCACAGTCTTCAGCAGCAATTCCTGCCCTGAACCTTAATGCTTACCCATGGCTTCTTGATGTCTGCCTTAACACTTTGAGAAACTTGTTATTTATTCTTAGCTTTAAAATAGACATTTCAGCAAAGACAGTCTTCTTTGCACATCTGTACTAAATATGACAATTCTCAGGATGTTCATCACTTTGTATGGTTAGACTTGTGGGGTTAATTTCCATTATAACTGCTTAAGACTTAAAAAGTGTTTACTAGATAATATCTTACATTTTTGGATCATTATCAAATGCATTTTGTCTGACAGTGAAAGTTAACTAAATAATCAGTGTTAAGCATATAAAATATCATGCAGTGGAGGAATGACCAGCATACCTACTAGCTGGATTTTGTACTGCTGCTGTAAATGATAGGCTGTGACTTAGCAGGCCAGATAACTTTGTCTTTATTGGGAGATTTGTGACTAACTTGATTTGATTATTGATTTCAGGACAATGTTTGCGTGAATGTTTCCTCCTCCTTCTTGTAATGAATGCAGCACTTAGGTTTTATTCCTTGCTAATCATTTTATATAAATTCTGTAGATGATCATCAACTCCATGCTAAGTGAAATTCTGTAGAACTATACCTGTAGCCACTAATGCAACCAAGAGTCTACTTAAGATGATTCCTTGAGCTGGATTTCAAGTGCTGGTTGATGGAGCACTTAAGAGCTACTTGTTTTTCTGTGAATGAACTGAGAGCTGCTGGAAGATGCTTGACTGGTCAATGACATCAGCATTGCTGCCCAGTGGTGCTGAACAGTGCTTCAGGTAGTGTGTTTTTTAAGCTGCCAGATTGTTCAGAACCCACAGATGTCAGAGTGAGGCCAGCTTTATTACAGTCTGCTATCCCAGAGGCTCAGTTCCTCAGGGATCTGAGTGCTGGTAGCTGGATCATGTATCTGTCTCCTTCCTGGGGAGGAGATCTCCATTGTGCAGTCTGGCAGTGCTTCTCTAGAGATCTGTTGTATCCCTCTAATAAAAAGTTCAGAAACCTGAAGGCTTTTTCTATATCAGGGCAAGTAATTGCAGCTATCTCCAGTTCTAGGTCAAGTAATTTTGTACCTGAACACTGGTGCCAGGCAGGAGTGATGTTGTGAGCCAAGTACTGTATTAAAAAGGGCAAGAGTTAAGGTTTTCTGTTTTCTGAAGTCTGAGTGAACTGAAAAAAGGAGCTTGGTCAGATTTCTGACAAATGCATTTCATTATTAATATTTCTATCACAAGTCTTATGATGAATGATTTTTTGGGTCTTGATTATGTATGACTCCCTGAGAAAAAAAAAACACAAAGAGCAACAAACCAGTCCTACTGTTGAATGCAAATAGGTGACATCCCTTGATAAACTCAGGAGAAGTACAATGGGAATGCAAAAATGTTTGCCTGCTTGTTTTTTCTTGGTCTGCTGCCATGTTCAACATCAACTAGCACTTCTACTTTGTCTTCTTTCTGTCACATCATCATAGCAACTGAACAGGCAAACATGACTAGAAGCCAGGGAGATATGGTAATGTGGGATGGTGGCAAAGGATTTATCAGGCCTTTTTTTTTCCTGGGCTGCTTAAGGTTACAGCAGGAGCTTCTAAATACTGGTGAGCAAAAACTGCTAAAGGTGCAGGATTTGATTGAATAGCCTACCAAACTAGCTGTGTGGGGTGGTGCCTAATTGTGTGGTGAACTCCAGTTCAGGAACCACAGGGACAGTGTGAGTCTTTTGGGATGCTGTGAAGGCAGATTATTAGGGTCTCACTGCTGAAAGTGATGGAAGGTTTTAATTATTTCCATAGTCCTGGTGGTCAGAGCAATGGCAAGCAATGATCCAAGAGGCACAAGACTTCTCCCAAAAGAGAGCTTGTGTGCAGGGCTGCTGTGGCAGCAAAAGATGTTGAGGGAGAGGGAGCAATTAGTACCCCTGTCTGTAGAAAGCTCTCTAGAATGACTGAAGGGAAAGCAGCTAATAGATAGTGCTGGATCCAGGGTGCATTTGGAATGCACAGAACTGAGTGGCAAAGGTTGTTTTTTTAAGAGAGCTGGAGTGTAGACCTTATCTAGCTCTTGAATTCAAAGATTTACTTTAAACCACCTTGCACTGGCACAGAAGAGCCTCAGGTGCTAGAAGTCTTTGAGAAGGGAACTGCTTTGGCTGTAGCCTATAATGTGATATCCAGGAATCTTTCAAGTGCAAGTAATAGTAGATACTAAATTGTGAGTGCCTACAGCCCTCCTGGGAAGAGTATAAATCACATCACACAGAAATACAAGTGTGGTTCCCCAAGAGGATAGAGCCATGCTTGTTATGCCCCAAAGGGGACAGTCCCTTCCCTTTCTTTGGAGCTTCTTTCCCCCTTGGTGATGGCTGGTTAGTTTTATCCTCCTTTGGTGAATATAGCATCTGAACTGAAATATCTTCAGGAGAGCACCTTGGTGGAGCAAACAGATTGCTCAAGCTGTATTCAGCTGTCCAAATGTAAAAGAGCTTGATTTTTTTTTTCTTTGCTATTCTGAATGTATTGTGTTTGTGTCATTATCACTAGATGTCCATTAGGTAGTTTGTGTTCCTGCATTTGCTTATGGTAGGCAGCTATTACTGAATAAATTAGAAGAGGCAATATAGAAAGGGTATGTTGGCTTGTGATTGTTGACTCACTTCCCAAAGAAAGAATAGGCTCAACTGTATAATCCTTTTTTCCCCCCTTCATTCTGGCACATCAATTCACTATGTTATTGTTTTTATTGCAGCCTGCTAAGTTTGTAGAACAATTGATCTCTTTCAGTCTCAAAGCCAACTTATTTTGTAGCATCACACAGTAAAAAGTGCCTTGTTTGATGATGAACTCTGGTATTTTGAATACTGCCTGTTGGAAGAAGTCACTTCTTTATACAGCATGGGGAAGCACTAAGCCAGCAGTGAAATTCTTTTATGGAGGGGTGTGTGTTAGGTGTGTTTCTCCACACCCCCTCCATTCAAACAGTGTGGTCAGAATGCAAATAAAGAGAAGTCCTCCCTTCAGAGGGGAGCTGGGGTGTATGGCTGATGTAATGCTTACAGGCTGATACTACCTGCTGGCCAGTGTACTAAGTTCCAGACCATATTTAAGACGTTCTTGTTCCACACTCTCATGTTAAGAGTGAAATATTTGGGTGGGGAAGCATAGAGTAAATACTGAGGAAACTATTCCCTGGGTTTTCTTTTTTTTTTTTTTTTTTATTTGTAGCAAGAGAAACTTTCAGACCTGTAGAAAAGGAGCCACAAAGAAGAGGGGAAAAGTGATTGCAACATCTGCACTCCATAGGAGAAGAACCTATGGGCTTACACTTCTCAGGGGAGACCTAAATTAGGCACTGGGAAAGTTCAACATTGGGATAGGTTGCTTGAGGAGGTGTGAGGAGACAATTTTCCAGGCTGTGTAATAATGTTTTGAAGGTAAACATGGCCAGAGTGGTTAGGTACAACTGGAATAGAGGTAGTAGAGGAAGGGCACAGTGTAAGTGAATTCCCTGCTTAGTAAAAATCCTCTGAAGTCTCCTTTGAAAGAAATTGGGACTGAGGAAGCTCAAATGTGTAGTGAATAATTCTGACAAGTTTCATCTTCAGAGCAGACTTCAAGCATGGTCTTTTCATTGCAGCAAAATTTAAGTTTTGGGTTACATTGATATAAGTATTTTTTTCTTCCAAATTAAACTGTTAAACTTCATAATATAATATTTCTAGAGCTGGCAAGTATTAGGGCAGGGGTTGTGGGTAGTATTAAACCAGTTTCACTACAAGTTGGCTATCATCTGTCTCCTCAATGTCCCAGATATCCTCCTAGATATCTGAAGTAGTGTGTCCAGTTCCAGGCTCCCCAGTAAAAGAGAAATGGAACCACTGGAGAGAGTCCAGCAAAAGGCCACTGAAGTGATGAAGGAACTGGGGAACTGGAGCATCTTGCCTATGAAGAAAGGCTGAGAATCCTTGGACCATCTAGCCTGGAGAAGGCTCAGGGGATCTTATCAGTGTGTACAAACACCTGAGGAGGAGGGTATAAAGATGGAGACAGGTGCTCTTCAGTGGTACCCATTGCCAGGACCAAAGGTGATGGGCACAAACTGAAACACAGGAGGTTTCCTCTGAACATCAGGAACGGCTTTTTACCATGAAGGTGACTGAGCACTGCCACAGGTTGCCCAGAGGACATGTGGAATCTCCCTCCTTGGAGACATTCAAAAGACAACTGGACATGGTCCTGGGCAGCCAGCTCTTGGTGGCCCTGCTTGACCAGGGAGGTTGGACCAGATGACCTCAGAGGTCCCTGCCAGCCTCAGCCGTTCTGTGGAGCTCCTCCAAATCAGCTGAGCAGCATTGGCAATAGAACTGCCTAAGCACTGACTTTGCTGTGGAGTCATATCCCTCCCTTTTGTTTTCAATGCCATCACTGAGAACTTCTCAGAGCAGACCCCTTATTTCCTCTTGCTCCAGAATCAATGGAAGTATAGACAAGGTTATCTGCTTGAGACACCGAGTAGGCACAATGACACAGTTACAGCATTTCCTTTGCCAAACAGGTTCTTTACTGTCCCCTTCCTTTCCAGGTGGCTGGAGGCAAGGTAAAGAAACCAGGCAAGCGAGGTCGAAAACCAGCCAAAATAGACTTGAAGGCCAAACTTGAAAGAAGTCGTCAGAGTGCAAGAGAGTGCAGAGCCAGAAAGAAGCTGAGGTACCAGTACCTGGAGGAGCTGGTTTCGAGCAGAGAGCGAGCCATCTGTGCTCTCAGAGAGGAGCTTGAAATGGTAAGGAGCCATCATTTACCCTAACCTTCAATGCTATTTGGGACCTGTCCTGGTGGACATTTGTTCTCAAAATCGCTGTGACTGAGAGTGGGACTTGGCTAGCTGTAAGGTATCCAAACATCAGCACCAGATGTGTTCAGCTGTTTACTGCTTTGTGTTGAATGTGAACCTCCTGTCGCAAGTTATCTGCTGGTTTTGAACTGGGAGCAAGCAGAGGAAGTGTCACTTCAGTGTAATCTGTTGTCTTTGAAATGCTTGCTTTGGGAACCTCAGACAGGAGTAGAAAGTGGGAAAGGGTGGCAAGAGATGTGTTAAAATCTCACAGGGCAGCACGTATCCACGTGTGCCATAGTCTCCCACAGACCTTTCTCCCCACTGGGAGGCTGGTTCTTGCAGCACGCTCTGTGGAGATGGTTGCACGTGTCCTGTGCTCCAGAATATAAGATGGGTGAGAGAATGTTTCATCTGGAAATACAGACTTGGCTCCTCAGTGGCAGCAAGATGCCATTGAAGTTTCCCTGGAGCTGAGGCTATTGCTGTGACCTTGCCTTAGGTTTTTTGGGGTAGGCAGGGCCAGTCACCACGGGCTGGACTGGCTGGAAACTCAGCCAGCTGATCAAAGGTTTTTTTGACGTGCTTCAAGGTTTGCTAGTGAAGAATTTAAGATGAGGGCACTAGGAATAAGGCACATGTGCTGTAACCGTGCCTTGCACAATCAGAAAGGACCTCTTGATAGTCAGTGAGCCCCAGAGTCATGTGAAATATTTGGTTTTAACAGGCCATGAACTGGAACAGCATTCTGGCACGCCGGCCGCGCGAACACGCACAGTGTTCCGTGGCGTTTAATAATTACAGTATTGTCCAGGGCTGCCACTGAGCAGCAGTTTATTGACTGAAACAGGATTTACTGAGGCCAGGTATGCACCCGTGGACACGTGCTTAGCTCATTAGTGCCCTGCAGTTTTGTAAGAGGCTTCAGCCCAGTAAATTCAAACCTTAAACGAGTATACCGGAAGGTAAAGATTACAGCTCTGTTTTGTCTGCTAATGTGATCCTGGCAGTTTGCTAGTGCCTAATGTGTTTGCATATTTCAGTACAAGCAGTGGTGCATGGCAATGGACCAAGGGAAAATCCCCTCTGAAATAAAAGCCCTGCTCACCGGAGAGGAGCAAGGCAAAGCTCAGCAGAACTCAGCCAAACTTGCCAAGGCTGGGAAGACAGAAGCAAACAGCAGCAGTCCCTGTAAGTATCCAGCCTATGATTAATTCCTATTTTGTCACATCTTTTGTGGTGTAGGAGGATGGCTGTGGTGTAGGAAGAAACATAAGGATGTGCTTTTGGGCACAAGTAGTTGATTGAAGCGAAGAGCTTAGTGGGTGGTACAAAGACTGTGTGGTGTTTACATGGAGAACACAGAAATTACACTAGCTAGGAAGCTGGGCAGTTTATTTTAGAAGAAGGTTCAAACCTTGTCTTTTGCCAAGGCCTGTGGAGACCTGTGAAGACCTGAGACCTTAATCTTTTACGGCATTTTCTGTTTTCATAATGCAAGGTAAATGGAGCACATAAAACATAATTGAATTTTAAAAACTCCATCAAGCAACATTATTCTAGCTGCAAGCACTCAAAAGTGAGAAATACGGGTGGACTTGGGGTTTCCTAGGAAATCTTTCTGCCTCATTTGTACTTGTCCAGGGAATAAAAAGAGGTTCTTTTGGGGATTGAAAGCTGAAGAGCTCTTGTAATATGAAGTCATGTTCCTAACACGTGTGTGCAGAGGAACAGAGTTCAGGTGCAGTACAGGAAGTTCTGTGTCTCACCTCTTATATCGTAATACCTTATGCTACAGGTTAAATTACACTTTACTGTCAATTTCTGAAGTAGGAGTTCCTAGCTTTTGTAAGAAAGGATGTGAAAACCACGTTTGTAACTGTACCAATCTTCCCCCATGGTGCATCACCCACAGGAGGCCAATGCAGAACCTGCCGCACCGCAGCAGCGGTAGCTTGGTAGCTAGAGAAGAATGCTGTTGGGAGAGAAGTGGATGCATCCCCGGGTGCAGGGGAGAGGATCCCCTTCTGCTGCCTGCTCTTGGCTCCCCCTCCACGAAACTCTTTGACTGTGGTGGTTCTAAGCCTGCATAGAGTGGGGCTTTTGGGGTAATAGGTGTTTGTGTAAGTGGAGCCTTGTTCTTCCTTTCTCCACACCACCCTCCCCAAATACAGCTATGGCAGAATTGGGGCATTCTCAGTAAGAAATGGGGGCTGCTTTTGTGTCAGAGCCCAGACTTAGCCTGGCATTGTGGTCAGTAGTTACATGGTTGGTAACCATTGTGGGAGTCTGAGAGGCTCTGTAAAGTATAAAAACAAGAGGAAGATTTTGGAACAGCTTTGCTAAAGCCAGATGGAGAACTGTCGGTCAAGGAGAAGGAACTGAATGAAAAGCTTTCAATAAGAATGTAATTTGTATCTAAATAAAGACGTTTTTCTCAGCATGGTTTTATAATGTGGCATGTCTTTTCTGGTTTTGGTGCCCTTAAAGAGAGGTACTAGATACACTCCCTGCTTCTGCCCATACTTCTTCATTGCCCACCCCCTGTGTCCTAGCAGGATAGCCAGAGCATGCTCCTCCACCTGGCTCCCAGCAGTGGAACAACTGCCATCTCTGCCCACCCAGCGTGCCCTGCAGCTTAGTATGGATTCTGCTGTGCTGTCCTGGCCAAAGATAATGCCAAAAAACTGGTAGCAAGGGAAACAAGTTGCATCAGTTTGGTTTTATGATAAGAGAGGTGATTGCAGAAGTCTTGCGGGCTGATTTATTCATCCCAGACATTGACAGGCAACCTGCTTTTTTGTCCAGGTTGCTTTCTCCTGTACATGCCTTTTGCATTGACAGGATGCAGTGTGGAGAGTGGAGCTCTCAGGGTTTTCACTGGGGGGATTGCTTGCTTCTTCTGTTTTGTTTGTCACAATGTCTTTCTCTGTATTTTATGGAACGCGTGGAACATTTTTTAATCTTCCGTTCTCTTCTCTGTTTCCTAGAATAAATATCATCATGTATGATTTCACTAGAGTGAGCGTTGCCTTCTTTTTATGGAACTAATGGGGTTTGCTTAGTACTATGTCAACTCAGGATCACTTGAAAGCACTGAAAATACTGATGTGCCATATTTCAGTGTACAGCACAGCTGCTATCAGAATTCCATTTTAAGCAGTCGTATATAATCCTTAAGGCATGTTTTCCAGTTTATTCTTTAGACCCTCTACATATGTACTTAGTTAGCAACTGCTAGAAATGTTGCATAGACATAGAAAACTATTATGAAAGGTTAAGTAACACTGAAGCAGAGATGGGGAGGGTGTGGGGAGAGGGTAGGGGTTCCCCTAACACAGTATTTTAAGCTCTGAACTGCACTTTGTTGTGAAAGATAGAAACAAAGCCAGCCCATAAGTTTTGGGATTTTTGTCTGTGTTGAATGTTTGCTTGCCTGTTGTTTCTCTGGATCCTCTGAAGGAAGAAAACACCCAAACAACTAGGCCAGATGTCCAGAACTATACTCTGTGAGCCTTGCAGTTGGATTTTCTAACATGAGCATCCCAGAAGTGTTAATATATTATTTTTGGTTAGAATTAGACATACACATTCTAGTTTCAAATGTAAACTATGTATTGTGATCAAACATATTCCACATGTTACGTGTGTACTTGTGTGTTCCTGAATGGAGGATGTAGAAGATGTGCAGAGGAGTTATGGTGTGTGTGACCAGATTAGCTCCACTCAGCACTAGGTGACGTGACAAATGCAGCTCTGCTCTTGCCAGAAATACCCCACTTGCCCTCTTCCCTCCATGCTTTGTTTCACTTTCTGTGCTACCAAACAAGAAGCTTCTCAGGAGTTAAGATTTCTTTTATGGAGGAAATAGGGAGCTGGAATTTCTCTCTGTGGAAAGCAGCTTTTCATCTGTTCCCCATCACAGCGGCTCTTGGTTCTTGGCTTAGCCAGCAGTTGGCATTGCAGGCCCATGTTTGGCAAGCCTGGGCCCAGCTCTGTGGCACAAATAGTGGCATCCCTGTTCTAACAAGTTCTGTGTGTTTCATGCAGATGGGACAGGAGGCATGTTACAGCCTACATCATCTTAAACTGTTTCCTGAAACAGTTTCCTTATTTGACCTGCAAGCCAAAATACGTGTGACACATAGAGGCTCCAACTGCAGTTTTCCCAACTGCTCTAGATGCTGAAGTTCATTAAATAATGTAGGAGTCCCAGCAATAATCATTAATTAGGTAAAGCTCTGTGGCTTCCATCACATGCCAGATCGTGCTATGTTCTAAATGTTCTGGCCTTAGATGGATCTCTGGGAGTCTGCTGGAATTTGAAGTTTAGCAGTTCCCCTTGAAAATTACCAGAGGTGTTTGTGGTTCATGCCCATTTGATACTCTGATGCTTACAGTCTTCATCCACATTGAGGTGGCTTCTAGAAGTGATAGAGCCAGGTCCTCTGCCTTGGAATGTCAAGTAGTGCCCTAACTAATGGAGATGGTTTAGTCGTATCCTCTTTGTGTGAGATGGGTACAGTCTTCCACCCATTTCTTCTGCAGTGAGTGTGTGCAGCTGGTTCTCTTTCACAAACGCTGAAGAAAGGAAATAAGCCTGGAAATGCTTCATTGTCCCACTTGCCATGGAAATCTAATGCTCAGCCAGAACCATTTACCCAGCTCAAGGTGGGTACCTCTTGGAAACTAGCCACAGTCTTCACAATATGCTCTCTGTAGTATTTGGTGATTACAGTAGGGCTAGAACTTTGTTACAGTGAGGTGTAATAATAATACTGAACTCAACTGATGCTGGTGGGCTAAGCACTGTACAGTAACACTAATCCTGCTGGAGAATGTAACCCAGCTCCTTCCTGGGGAGTGGAAACTTCATAAGAAAAAGGTGCAATAACTCTTGTCTTTTTATATGCCCTATATATGCTTTGTGCATAGACTCTCCAAAAATAAAGTGGATACGTTTAATAGACTTGTCACTTAACTGAGAACATTTTGTAATTTTATGTTTTTAAAAAATGAAAAAAAAAAAAATCAAAGTCTGTTTTCATAATCTGATAATGTTGTTTGTCAAAGAATCTGTATTAAGTCCTTTTCAAGGGACTATTGTAACTTACATAAGAGGTGTTTGGGTTTTTTAATGTTTTAGATAAATTTCAAAAAGCTTTTCTCTTTCTTGACAGCTGAAACCTGACTAGCTTTTTGAGAGTGCCTGTGACTGATATGTTCTCCTTTTTTTCCCCCCCCTCCTTTTACATTTTAGGGTGAAGATCAATCAACATCAATAATGAATCTAGCTCTTCCTGTCATCCCATGAAGAGATCAAGAAGATTTGCCATCAGGGTTCCATTTGCTGCTTTCCAGGAATTCATGATGTCTAATTAGACATAAAATTACTGTTAATATAAGGACCAAATATTTGAGACTAGTCCTAAAAGTGCAGCAAAATCAGAGGGAAAGCTGAATTAAGAACCCTAGTCCTTCTTGTTATGCAGCAGAGTTACAGCATGAGTGACAGAGGATCCAGTGATGGGAAAATCTCTTCTGTAGTTAAGCAAGGAAAAAAACCAGCTTATGACTGTCCTGCTATTAGTGCCACTGAGCATTAATTTCTCTGTAAGTTATGTCAGTAACTGAATTTCTTGTGTGGCTCTGTTGTGAATTTGTATGAGAAAAGAGAAGCTTCTAATCTGCTGTAAGCTCTCAGCTCTCCAATACTGAGTAGTGCATCAGTGGACTAAAATTCAGCTGGTGCTGTATTCATGGAATGTGTAGATTTGTGTCTGTAGGTACAGGTGTGGAATTTGTAACCTTAGTTATAGCCATTGCCTTAAGCCATTTCTGCAAAGGCTGTTGCTTGCTATTATTTATACTGCTGCTTGCATTTTCTTTCTTCAAATTGTAACTAGAAAGTGCTGTCATTGTTCAGCTAACGATTTTCAGCAACACTTCATTTAAAAACAAAACAAAACTTTAAAAAGCCAGGACAGGTGACTTTCAGTTTCGTTTTTTCCTCCTTAGAAAGCAGTTGGAAGGTGGAAGTTTTGCTTCCATAACTAGTACAAGGTTAGCCTGGCCTTTTGTGTGTCTGCCTGGAGCTCACAACTGGCTTCATCAATGCTATTAACAATAACTGCTGCTTCAAGCAGTTCTTGTGTGTGATCTCTCTATTAGGGTGGGTAATGGTGGCAATCCTAACTATGCTGCAGCTGACAGGTATTATGATGATGAAATAAATTTCTGAGTAAAAGACTACAAGTGGATTATAAATTGTGTGTTTTCATGGAATGGTGTTCAGTGTAAATAGAAAGCTTGCTACGAAAGGTGACTTTTTCTGTACCTTTCTTCTTGTGGCAACTTTCAAAACACATTTTGATCCAGTTAGGCAGTGCTGGTGACAGCAACGCTGCATATTGCTGTGGCAGAGCATGCCAGCAGTGCCCTCCAACTTCAGCAACTCCTGTGGCATGTTCCAAATGCCTGCTGATGTAAGGACATTTCTTTCCTACTCCCTGTTGAACACAGATCCTGCCATGCTGCTAGGTGAGTGGTTTTTGTTCTGGGCTTTTTCTTTCCCCTTCCCTTTGAAATCTACTTTTTGATATGCATTGCTTTTTCCCCCTACAGAAAAAGAGTTGTTTGTGAATCTCCTTTCTTCCACAAGTGACTTGGTAGCTATTCTCAAAAGCCATCAAGGGTTCCTTTTCCAGAGGACTCCATAAAAACAGGAGTTATTTTGCTGTTTGTCTCCATACAGCTGCTGTACCACACCCACCAACTCACACTGAATACCCCTTCTGCACTTTAAGCTTTCAGTGACATCAATGTAAATACTCCTCCTGCATTGCAAGCTCCTAATGGTTTCACCACCCTTTTGTAGCTCAGGACCCACTTCTTGTTTCTGAGCCTAGTGGACACAGTGTTGGTGTCAGCTTACCCCAGTGTGATTTTTTAGCTTGTTCAAGCATTCTGCTCTTTAGCTGTATGATCGGGAGGAAGACAAAGCTGTGAGATAATGGTTTCACCACCCTTTTGTAGCTCAGGACCCACTTTTTCTGAGCCTAGTGGACACAGTGTTGGTGCCAGCTTACCTCAGTGTGATTTTTTAGCTTGTTCAAGCATTCTGCTCTTTAGCTGTATGATCGGGAGGAAGACAAAGCTGTGAGAGCAGGCAGCAATGACAACATTGCCTAGTTGTGGAAGTTGAGCATGTGTTGAATGGGTTCTGCTACTCACAAAGTTGTAAGCCTTCTTTCACTTGAAACATTGAGGTTTAGATTATTCTGTTATTGTACTTCTGTAAATGCAGGTTGTGCAGCACGT